CCTTTTGAGACAAAGAAACTCATAACATTGATAGCTGTACTTTGTTGGACAACGTCTACTTTTCGCATTAAATATAACATGAATTTCTATAATTAACCTCTTACTTTAAGTGACCATATCTTAATCGAGCCTGGGATGCATTGCCTGATTTTCACTTTGGGCAGACAGTTGGCCCAAGCATGATAAAACTGTATTCTGCTACTTCTTTTCTGAAAAATTTTATTAGTACTACTGTCGTTCAACGAATTCTTACCCATAACCTCTGACGCTATGGATTTGGTTGTTGACTGCTATACCACCAATTGACCATTTGACTGAAATGTTTTATAGTAGTCTTCATTTGTACCTAATTTGACATCTCTGTGCTAATATTACATTGAAAAGCTTTGGGCTTCTTTTGAAGATCTCTATTTTAGCAAACAGGAATTTCCTTTAAGCTCTTGGCTTAGAAGATGCCAATGTGGGGTGGATAGTTGAATTAGTGGCTTTTCCAACACTTCAGAAGTCAGGCAACTAAGCTTTGTTGGGGAGGAAAAAGAAGTCACCATCGATTATCTCCTTCAGAGACCGGGAGAATTTATCAAGTCAAGTAGACAATATATTGGATGAAAATCAATAAGGAAATCACAACAAAATGAATAACGTAAATGGGAAGTGATGGTGCTCTTTGTTCCCAAGGTTTTCTTGATAGGAGATGTCACTGTGAATGTTAATGAAATCTACTCATTTCCACTACTTGTACTTCGAAACCAGTTTGGTTTCATCTTATAATAGGGCACAATGCACATCATGGAATATGAGGTTTTATATTTTCGGGTATTGGTGTTTATTCCGTGAATACCTATTTATCTGACCAGTAATTTGTTCATCCTTGGTTGAACAAGCAATTGGTTGCATACATGTGGCCAAGTAGGATCTTCAGACATTCGACCTCAAGGTGGTATTGGTTAGTAGCTGGTTGGACCAGAACAGATGGTGGCTAGGGTGTCCAGCACACGTCATGTGCGCTATGCATAAACAAACAACAACAACAACAACACAACACGCGGCGTGCGTGTATACGCACACAGAAAGCAGGCAAAAGTCTNCCACATAAATAAGCTCCCGAAAGATAGCAAACAAATTACAGAGATATATTTATTTATTTCAAATGGCGGGCTTTATGATGCATATCATTAGCCCTTTAGCTGACTTCGGGCTTCACAGAGGGGAAGGAATATCAATATGAAAAAGTCGAGAGGGGGAAGAGAGGAGTGTTTCAAAGATGTAAAAGAGACAGACACACAGGTAGAAAAAAGGTGAGGTGAGTACTGTGGAAGTAGTCGAATATGACATATAGTGGGGTGATGGTAGTTTGAAGTGAGAAGTCAACTGCCGGTTAATAGACTTTTTTGCCGTATGAGTATACGTTACCCAGGGTGCACCACGTGGAGGTAAGTCTATATCTGAGAAAACGTTTACGGATGCCAAGATACCACCTTACAATTTGTCATTTTATAATGGCCCTCACCATGATTTCCTGTAGGATAAGTGATTAAAGGCAAGTTTTCGTTTTTAAGACAAAACCTTTCTCAATTCAAGACGCACAATGCATATAATAGGATAGCTGGTTTTTTGAACAAAAACAAATGAGTGTCAATGAAAATGAAGGAAGAGGTAAAATCGAGTACTGATTTTGTTTAACGCAATGGTTAAACCTCTTATGTTCACCTTGACGTGTTTATTTTGCACCATTTGTTCAGTTGTGTTTATATAACGCCAAGAATTCATGTACACAATGGTAAATTGCCGAGGTAAATGCGTTTCCTGTTATCTCTATTTTCTCATTGTCTTCACTCACCGCATAGCGAAAAAAACACTTCTTTATTTCTATCCATTTTCAAAACAGGAAAAAAGGAGAGAAACGCGCAAATTTATTTATTTATTTATATCAAGTGGCAGGCATTTTGATAATTATCATTAGCCCTTTGGCTGACTTCGGGCTCCACAGAGGGGAGGAACATCAAAGTGAGAAAAATTCGAGAGGGGAACAGAAGAGAGATTTAAAGATGTAAAAGAGACAGACAGACACAAAGGCGGAGAAAAAGGAGAGGTGAGTACTGCGGAAGTGGTTGAATATGACATACAGTGAGGATACTTTAATTTGAGGTCAGAAGTCAACTGCCAGTTAATAGACATTTTTTCCCGTGTGAGTATACGCTGCCCAGGATGCAACATGTGGGGGTAAGTCTATCGCACACCCCGAAACGCGTAAATTAATAAAGTAATTTAGTGGTTTTCCGACTTGTCTGCCTATTACTGGACTTGAATGAAGTTAATTAGGCATGGTGACACCGATATCAAGTGCTGTGAACAGACCAGAAATGGATGAAATAAATGCTTCACATTATAATCCACAATTAAGCTAACAAATCATTTGACCCTAAGGACGCTTCATCGATTGCTTAGCTGTTCTTCCATCATCTGTTTTGTGTGTGCATTTCAATCAGCCCATATATATTTACAGGAAAGTGCTTTGAAGCGTGTTTAGTCTACAAATCGAACGTTTTGTAGCATAGAATGAAAATGAACAGTTGCCAACTCTAGTTAAATGTACTGTTATGCCCGGTATGATTCGGCTAAAGAGTCACATTTGCTTTATTTCATTGGACACAAACTAGAACCTTAAATATTGACATACACTAAGCTGAAGAAAGCACAACGTTGACAGGGATTAATAAAGGAATTTCATGTCCCGTATTACCCCCAAAAGTGTTGTGTGCTACCGATTGAGTAACTACTGAGTACAGAGACCTCCTAGCCAATCAGCAATCAAAAGTTACCCAATTTAGAGCTAATTAAGGTCACTTCCAAGTGTCTCCTATATTCCTGCTACTATGGGTGGGGAATAGATTAGTTTAGGCAGGCAAATGGCACTAGATGATTCAACTTAAATGGTTATTTAGACTTCTAAGAGTGTTACTAATATTTAGTAGTAGCGCCAATAAATGAAAGTAAAGGCTTAAGCAAGCAAACAAAACCATTGTGGTTAAATTTGTCATTGAAATGAAATTTCACATCAAATGTAGACTCATAACTTAATTTCAACATCCACAGCTAGATTAAAATTAAAAAAGATTTCTAAAATGTATATATATATATATATATATATATATATATTTTANCTTTGTTGGGGAGGAAAAAGAAGTCACCATCGATTATCTCCTTCAGAGACCGGGAGAATTTATCAAGTCAAGTAGACAATATATTGGATGAAAATCAATAAGGAAATCACAACAAAATGAATAACGTAAATGGGAAGTGATGGTGCTCTTTGTTCCCAAGGTTTTCTTGATAGGAGATGTCACTGTGAATGTTAATGAAATCTACTCATTTCCACTACTTGTACTTCGAAACCAGTTTGGTTTCATCTTATAATAGGGCACAATGCACATCATGGAATATGAGGTTTTATATTTTCGGGTATTGGTGTTTATTCCGTGAATACCTATTTATCTGACCAGTAATTTGTTCATCCTTGGTTGAACAAGCAATTGGTTGCATACATGTGGCCAAGTAGGATCTTCAGACATTCGACCTCAAGGTGGTATTGGTTAGTAGCTGGTTGGACCAGAACAGATGGTGGCTAGGGTGTCCAGCACACGTCATGTGCGCTATGCATAAACAAACAACAACAACAACAACACAACACGCGGCGTGCGTGTATACGCACACAGAAAGCAGGCAAAAGTCTGAATCACCCATGTTAGCAAGTCACGTGGTCTTCCATTTTGCTAGCCGGTTGGCAACCAATCTACTCGGACAACCGTCCATCTTCCTCTGTGTCTGTCTACGTTATGTTTAAGCACGTAGACAAAAAACAAACAAACACTTGTCTACCAGCTTAATTTCTTGTTTGGATGGATGGAATATCTTCCTACCTGATGATGAAAGGCATTCTTTTCTTGTCCATTGCAAGTAAACCGTTTGATTACTGTCCATGGGACAAGAAGAATGAATACTAGTTTATTCCAATCATGTAAACAAGTGGGGAATAGCAAGAGAGTTTAATAAGATCTGAAACGTAGGAAGGTCTAATAATGAGTTAGGACATCTCGAATGTCACGTTATTGGTGTTCAGATGTACTAAATTACCTATACTCGCTAAAATAGAAGAGTTCGATCTGACCCAGTTTCATGGATGAAATTATGTCCAATGTCGTAGGAACTGGTTAATCCAATGGTTTAAGTCTGCACCAAGTCATGACTACTTAATACATCCACATCTGTTTTAATACCCAAAACGAGTAGGGGTGAACAAAGATGCATTTAAGATAGTGCCCCATTTCATTTTTGCGCTTAGCTCCTCTTAAGAATAGCGTTTAGAGTTCTAGAACCTGTGTGGAATGTGATACTTGGATGAGGTTCAGTTTTCGAAAGTGGCTAGCAGAATTAAATATCAGTAAAACGCAGTTTTGATTGAAGAACATGCGTTGGCAAACAGCTTTCAGACACTTGCCATCAGATTTCGTTATTCATTGTGCTTTGCTTATGAATAATGATCGCGTCAATAGAAGTTATTTCAGTAAGTTTACATTTAAATGCAATCAAAATAATTTCATATATATATATATATATTCAGCTTTCGTTTAGACATCTTTAATTCACGCATTGATTTTTATTATCTTCATTAAGAAGTAGTTTATTTACCTAAAAGATAAATCCTAGAACTCGCATTAATTAAATTTATTTGTCCCCCTGGTTAAGATGTCTATAACTAGGTTTGAAAACATGTAATTATTCCATGATCAGTTTTAATTATTTTAAGAAATCAGATTTTAAATAAATAAACCCCCACCATAGGAAGATTCTTGAAAATTGACTAATTTCCAACATCTGAACATCTGGGGAAAAGTAACAAGCAAGTAAGCAAAGTCCGAAATGAACAAAATGAAAATGAATCTACTGAATTAATTAAGTAAATAATTCATAGCCAAATTGTATTTTTAGGTTTCAATCAGATGAGCTTATCAGCGAGAGGACACTTAGTGAGAGCTAGCCTCTACTCAGAAGTGCTACTGATGCTATCTCGGGACTATGATGTGGCGGAAGATCGGTATAACTTCTTGGATTTCTCTCCAGCTGAAAGGGACATAATCCTACGTCACTTCCCAATCTACAATAGGGTTGTTGAGCACTTAAAAATTTCAGGCCGCTTTTTCCAACAGCTGAATCTGACTCACACAGAGTTTGTTTACGCATGTGCCATTGGAATCCTTAGGCGTGAGTTAATGAAACCGATTGTTCGATGGTTCGATAAGTTAATGCGATGAATTTTCATTTTCAATTTTCATTTTCTTACCTTCAGATTATTTCATTCTTGCCGACCCAGCATATACGGATGCAAGGAAGTTGCTTCTGCTGGCTAGACATTCACTACTGGCAACGATGCGCTGTAAGTTTAGGATAGATAGTTTTGATGACATTCATATACTAAGTTGAATTCGTAATTTCTGTATTATTCTTTAGCACAAACTGAATCTCAAGAATTGGTTGATCACAAGTGGAATCGTCTAGAAGCACTTAATGAAATGCTTTCAACTATGAGCAAAGAATACAGAGAAATCGCGCAACAGTTACAGGTAACTTTGATAATAAATCGCTTCACTTTCAACGGAATTATGTTAAGTTGTCAATGGATATCACCTCTGATTATTGGAATGATCGATGCAAATTTTATTCCTCCAATCATTCTTGGGTGGTCGACAAAATACGGCGAATTCACAAAGGATATTAATGTTGAATAGCGAGTAAAGTCAGTATATTTGCCATCGTCTGAAGGAGGATTATATAACATTTTTACCTGCGTCTTAAGGAGAATTACAGTAAACAATGATTAAGTGGAATATATTTAAATCCTTTTATTTTGAAAGATCTGAAATCAGAAAACGTCTATTCTTACTGGTTTTCTTAACACCAACAAGATCGTCTGTTTTGACCCATGACGACATGAAGTGGATATATGGCGAAGCACTTCTTCACTAATATTTTGCCTATTTTGGGAAAGATTCCGATTGTAAAATAATGATATAATTCAATGAAATAAAATACTCTCTTAACAGAAGTTATGAAATTCCATTTGGACACTAACAATCGCACTATTCGCTATAGACTTCAGCAGATTTTTACACGACAATTCTTCTGTCTTTTTTTGTCATCGATATGAACACACTCAAATCAGTTTGCTTTTCTTACAAACTTTAGATCTTGCAAAAATCTTCTCCAAATCAGTAATTTTATTTCATTCTTAATATATTGGCCTTCAGAGGTACCTATTGGGAGTTATCTTTCAACCACCCACTTTGTTGACAGAAATTTTCGAGTGATGAAATATGAGGGCAACGTGACGAAATTGAGTATACTTTTCTCTCAGAAATTGAAGGTGTCGACTTGAATTCATGTAAAAAATATGCTTAGAGAGTTTGTTAAAGACCTTATGATGGCTCCTACAATAGTCCAAAAGTTGCATGGATAAAATTCACTGCCTCTATATCTAAGCACCCGGGGTGTGCGATAGACTTACCTCCACGTGGTGCACCCTGGACAACGTATACGCATACGACAAAAAAGTCTATTGACTGGCAGTTGACTTCTCACTTCAAACTACCATCACCCAACTCTATGTCATATTCGACTACTTCCACAGTACTCACCTCACCTTTTTTCTAGCTTTTCTACCTTCGTCTTTGAAACACTCTTCTGTTCCCCCCTCCCCTCTCAACCGTTTTTCACTTTGATGCTCCTTCCCCTCTGTGAAGCCTGAAGTCAACTAAAGGGCTAATGATAACTATCAAAACGCCTGCCATTTGATA